GACACCCTTCTCCTCAGGGAGAGAGAGTCTCTTTCCTGACCCTGGCAATGAGCTGAGGAGAGAGTATATATATATATATATATATATAATATAATGACATGGCCCTCACCAGACCCTCATGTTCTTCGATCCCACATCATTCATTGCCAGGGTCAGGAGAAGGGACAGGTGTCTTCCCAGCATGGATTACAGTGAACATGGATCACCAGGGCTCTTCCCAGTGTGGGTTCTCCAACTGGGTATGAAGCTGGAGCCAGGCACACAGCTCTCCCTGCAGTTGGGGCATTTGCAGGGCTTCCCTTACCGGTGCTTCCGTAGGTGTCTGGTTAGGTTAGAGCTCTGGGTGAAGCTCTTCCCACACTGGGGACACTCGTAGGGCATCTCCCCAGTGTGGATGCATCGGTGTCTGATGAGGGTGAAGTTGTGCTTGAAGCCCTTCCCACAGTCAGGGCACCAGAATGGCCTCTCCTCTGTGTGGATCCGTTCATGCTTGAGGAGATTGGAGCTGGTGGGAAACATCTTCCCACAAGTGGGGCACTCATAGGGCCTCTCCCCAGCGTGGATCCACACTGGGGACACTCGTAGGGCATCTCCCCAGTGTGGATGCATCGGTGTCTGATGAGGGTGAAGTTTTGCTTGAAGCCCTTCCCACAGTCAGGACATCGGAAGGGCCTCTCCTCTGTGAGAATATGCTCGTGCATGAGGAGATTGGAGCTGCTCCGAAAACTCTTCTGACAGTGGGCACACTGGTAGGGCCTCTCCCCAGTGTGGATGCGTTAGTGGATGACGAGGTCTGAGCTGCATCTGAGGCCCTTCCCACACTCCCCACACTCGTAGGCCCATTCCCCAGTGTGGATCATCTGGTGGCGGATCAGGGTGCTGCTCTGCCTGAAGCTCTTCCCACACTCCAAGCACTTGTAGGCCTTCTCCTGCCCCAAGGGAGGTCTCTGTCCCTGTCACTCTCTTGCCCTCCCCTCTTTTCTCTTTCTTTCCATCTCTCTCGCTGCCTCACATTTGCTTTTCAACAAAATCCACATTGGATTTGGTCTCATTAGCATCTTCATTGGGGCAGAGGCATCTCTTTAACAATTTTCTTAACCAGATTGCAACATTATTTTGGCACAGTGAGTTTAGGGACTGTTCTCTTACACCAAGTGCCTTTGACAACAGTATGGTTCCCTCCTCTGAGGAGGCTGTGGCTCTTTCTTTCCGGAGGAACCCATGGAATCTTGGATGCAGCTTCCTCTAAGCAATTTGTGGGAGAACTGATGAGGAAAATGGATGTTGTAGGAGGCCAGTGTAAAGAAAATATTTTGTTGTCCTTCCTTGAATAGTTTGTTAATATCACTGGAGGCAAGAGAGTAAATGATACCAATGAGACTGACAAGGTTCATTCACCCCAAGGTTAAGAACACAAGGCTGCTAAAAGTCCCACAAGAAGCCCAGCTCAAGCAGCTGAATTCCTGAATGACTCCCAAATTCACAGGCTTGAGGTGTTTGCCAAATGTGAGAATCATTATTCTCTTTGTCCTTGTCACCTTTGTGACAGTTACACAGAGTTTTCCCTCCTTTTTAATAACATGTATTGGGTAGAATTTACACTTTTCTTTTTTTGGAACCTGCCAGTAGCTGAGTTGGAGCTGTGCAGGAATGGGTGGAACTTGGAATTTCCACATCATTGTTTCTATTGTTGGTTTATTCATGATTGGGATTGGTTTGTGTTTTCATCACCTGCGACTTGTTGAAAAATCAAAGATTCATGAAAGTGATTTATGCAGAGTTAAGTTTGATTTCTGCCAAGTTTATTTTGTCCAGTACCCAGGGGATGCTCGAGGGGTCTCTGTGCCTCTCGCCCTGGGGGATGCTCTGGAGGGGCTATGGGGGGTTGTCCCTGTCCCTGTCACCCCAGGCCATTCCCCAGGGGGGCTCCCTGTCCTTGTCACTCCTGGCCATACCCCAGGGGGTCTCCATCATTCTCACCCCAGGGAATGCCTGGGGGTCTCCCTCCCTCTCACCCTGTGCCAGGGGGTGCTCGGGGCAGTATCTGTCCCTCTCAGCCCAGGGGATGCTCGGGGGTCTCTGTCCCATCACTCTGGGGGATGCTCAGTGGGTGTCCACCCCTCTGGCCTCAGGGAATGCTTGTGCAGGGCTGGGGACCAGGGGCGCTGTGTCCCTCTCACCGCTGAGGGCACTCGGGGCTGGGGGGGGCTCTCCAACCTTCTCATCCCTGGGGAGGCCAGGGGGGTCTCTGTCCCTCTCAGCTCTGGTGTGACCCCACCCAAACATCATTGGAGTCAGAGGGACAGAGACACCCCCAAACCCCCAGAAGGGCCAAACCTGGGATTTGGTTTTGGCCTGAGGATTTTCGAATCGGGGCTGGGGTTGGAGTTAGGGCTGAGATTTGGATTAGAGCTGGGATTGGGGTTAAGGCTAGACATAGGATTGGCTTTAGGGCTGGGGCTGGGATTGGGTCTGGGGCTAGATGAGTCTGGGACTGGAATGAGATTAAATACAGAACTGTGAGTGTATCTAAATGTGGAGTGAGATTGAGACCCGGATCAGGGTCAGGTTTGGGACTGAGCTCACCCAGAGAGGGACAGGGGGGATGTCACTGCAGGATGTCCCTGGCATCGTCCCAGCCCTCCTCAGGCACCTCCAAACATGGGGGGCAGCTGGGTGCTCCAAGATCCAGGTGCTCCCAAGCTGCCCCTCAATACTATGCGAGCATTCCATGAGGGCAGCCCTGACTGTGACCCTTGGGGCTCTGGGATTAGCCCTCACATCCCTGTGGGAGCAGCTACAGACAGGACAAGAGATTTTTTTCCCCCTCTCTTTCCTGTGGAAGAGTGAAGCCTGGCTGCCCTTTTTTTCTGGTGCCTTCTCCTCTCCTCAGCTGAGGATGTCAAACTCACCAGGAGCAGGAAAATCCCCGTTTCCTGTTTCCTCGTGGCTGCAGACTGGAGCATCCACTCAGAGTGAAGAACTTTCTGACAGCATTGCTGAATTGACACCAGGAGGTGGTTTGTGAGAAAGGGAGGAAAATGTGTTTTGATAGGAAATTAAAATTGCAAAATTATTTCTTTCTGTCACATTCCTTTTCAGTCAGTTCCAGTTCTGTTTTCAAAGTGCCACCTTCTCAGCTGATTGTGTTTGTGTCCTCCTT